ACCTCCAACTATGCCACCCACAGCGCCTCCAGCTCCAGCACCCCCATAACCAAAACCTTCACCAACAATGCCCCTAGGGCCTCCAGTACCTCTGGCAGGAACACCCCCAGACTCCACAGCAACCGGTCGTGGAGACGAACGAGGAGGGAACTACGGGAAGCCAGGGGGTGAGGCAGGGGGAGGCCGCCGACTCGAGGCAGCCGTGTCCTCCACAGGAGGGGCCTCCACGCTCACAACCCTTGCACACCCAGAGCCGTCACCACCAGCTCTAGTAGCCCCAGGACCTGCACCCTCTAAAACTGCACCTCCCACAACCCCAGACACGACAGGGACTGGACGCTGCAGGGGAGACAATTGCAGAGTGACGTGCGACACACTTGACGGAGTAGGACGCGAGGGGGGGGGATGCTACTAGGGCGACTAGGGGGAGGGGGGGGGGGGATGGGGGGGTCAGGGGTGAGGAACAGCGAGGAGGAAAAGACCTCACTACCTTGGTGGGGATGACTCCAGTAGTAACAGACCGACTCGTCGAAAGTGGCGTCCTAAGAAGCAAAGAACTAGTGAGTGACCTGGTCGTAGAACGCCCAGCCGGAGGCGTCAAGAGGGAAGCCTAAAAAGACGCAAGGGTGGGTGCGAGGAGATAATTTGTTCACGCCACGGGCGCGAACGTGAGCCAAAGAGCCCTAGACGTGGTAGGCAGCTGCTACACCCCAGGACCCTGTCCAAAGGATGACCGGCGTCAGCTGTGGTCGTGCGTCACTAGGCTACAGGTTCAGCTGGTGGGTGGCGTAGCGGACTACATGAAGGCACATGAACTGGGGGGCATCGGCATGGCACATGAAAGTCCGGCCAACCTCCATGACCAGGCCGATGCGTCGCTTAGGTACCCCGTTCTGCTGCGGCGAGTCTGGTAGCGTGTAAGACTGGGTGATCCCGTGACCCTGACAAAACGCCTCTAGATGAGTGGAAGCAAACTCACCACCCCGGTCCGTATGTAGATGAAGCTGACAAAGGCCAAGTGTGCCATTACTCTCTAATATCCACGACGGCTCGAGGACGGTAGGCACGTCGGCCTTCTGTTTCAAAGGAAACACCGTGGTGTAGCGGGAGTAGTCGTCGACCACAAACAGGAAGAAGCGCTCCTGGCGTGGGCCAAGGACCGGGGAGGGGCCCCAGACGACCAAGTGCAAGGTCTGGGGAGCCGTGGTGGGGGGGAACAAGGAGGTGTGAGGAGCAGCGGGTTGCCGACCCTCGATGCAATGAGTGCACGGCGGCGCAGGCGAGTGGGGAAGCGGGGCTAGGGATGCGGGAAGACCTGAGACCAGATGGTGGCGTACCATCGTACTAAGGCGCGGGAAGGACGGGTGACCTAGACGGTGGTGCCACAGGACCGATAGGTGGGTGAGTGACCGACAGGCGCACAACACAGCAGCTACCTGACTTGATCTGACCTGACCTGACCCAGTGTGGTAGGACCCAGTGTGTAACAAGTACATATCAGAGCCTGGCTCCCTATAAAAATGGCAAGTGGCGCCCTAGTGGCACCAACTGTGTAAGAGGCAACAGGCTCGTCGGTGACTACTCCGAGGTCATGGAGGTGACTAACACCCACCAAGATCTTGGAGAACGAGGGGGTGTAGTAACCTGTAAGGACCCCAGAGGGGGGCACCAGATACGGGAGAGTGGTGGTACAGTGAGCTACAACATGTCCCACTATGGGGTCAACCAAGGTGACAGTGAATAGAGTGAGCAGTGGTGTAAAATTGGTGCAGTCGCGGAAGAAGCAACTAGACGCCCCAGAGTTGAGGGTGAAGGAAAAAGGCGCAGTCGCTGAGGTCGTACCTATGCCAGCGACAAGGGCATGCACTGGGCTAGCAGTAGCCGCAGCTCCCACACAAAGACCCTTGGAAGCACCTACGCTAGAAACTACACAAGCACCAAGACTAGAAACACAAGGCCGTGCACTAGCAACCGGCAAATGTCCTAAGCTAGATGCAAACAAGTCAACACGTCCAACAGTACTAGAGTTATCAAAATTCATCACACAATAAATTTCAGTGCCGGACATCAAATAAATATTGTAACCACGGTCAGACAGAAAAGGCCAGTGCAGGAGAGTCGATTCAGTTCCAAAACGCTCACGGTAGAGTTCGTCGAGGCGACGATAGCAGCTGAACGCGGAGTGGTCAGGATGCAAGCCGGTAGTGCTAGCACCAAGGCCAGTGAGGATCCGGTACTCGCAGGGACCGATGTCGCGACCACAGCGACGAATCCCCCAGCTGGCTGGACCGCTGTTGGGGTTGACGCTTCTCAAACCATCAGGTCCCCATTGCCGAGAGTGCTGTAGCTGTTGCCGCTGGCCTTGCTGCTGCAGAACTCTTGTGGACGCAATGGCTGGAACTAGAGGTGGCCAGGAGCGGTCGAGTTGGTTAGGAGAAGTCGAGCGCGGTTTGGGACGGTCTGGTGCGGTCTAGTTCGATAGAAATCGGCTAGAAGTGGTTGGATGCGATTGGGTGCGGTTGGGCGTGGTCTAGTGCGGTGGGGAGCAGTCTAGTGCGGTTGGAAGCGACTAGGAGCAGTCAGGTGCGATAGGGTACGGCCGGGTGCGGTCGGATGCGGTCGGGTGCGCTCGGATGCTTTTTAGTGCAGATGGGTGTGGTTTAGGGCGTTCAGGTGTGGTCTAGTGCAGTGGGGGCCGGTCTAGTGCGGTGGGGAGCAGTTTAGTGTGGTGGGGAGCGGTCTAGTGCGGTGGGAAATGGTCTAGTGCGGTGGGGTGCCGTCGGGCAGAACGTAGCGATGGCACGGGCGGCTGCTGCTAGCGATGGCTGCTGCTGTAGGCGCTAGTTGCTGTTGCTGGCGCTGGCTGTTGTTTTTGGCGCTAGCTGCTACTGCTGCTAGCGACGGCATGAACGGTTGCAGCAGCGCGCGGGTATGCGCTAGGGTGATGGACGGGCGACGGGCACGACGGGCTAGGGTTATGGGCGTGGGTGCTAAGGCGACATGCGATGAACGCTAGGGTTACGGGCGAAGGGAGTGCCAATGGGGGCCGTGCTACGGGATGAACGAGAGGCCCGCGGGGGGGTGGCGTGCTACGGGACGAACGAGGGCCCCGCAGGGAGCTGCACGATGGGATGAACGTAAGGGCCTACGGGAGGGGCGCGCTACCGGATGTACGAAGGGGCCCGCAAGGGCCGCGCTACGGGACGAACGAAGGGCCGCGAGGGGCCGCGCTACAGGACGAACAGAGGGCCCGCGGGGGCCGCGCTACGGGACGAATGAAGGGTCCATGGCAGGCCCTCAGGTTCGTTTTGGGGCACGCTGATCAGTCAGTGTCCCCCGAAGGCCAATCACTGATTTTCAGTGCTGATTTTTCTTAGTACAGAAAATAAAAGCGCTGAATAGTCAGTGGTGTTATTCATTGTTACACTGATTGTTACCTTCTGTACTCAAGTCAAGGGACTTTGCTTTGCAAGGAGTCATCGCTCATAGGCTCAATCCCTAATAAACTTTAGGTGCCATTGCCTGCATAGGGTAGCAAGTCATGGCGCCAATCACGGCGAAAGGGAAATGCGAGAAACAGAGAATTTCTGGTTTCAGGGTCAACCCCAATACAACACTGAGTCGTCAGTGTCCACAAACACAAAACACTGAAAAAACAGAGTTTGAAATAAAAAAACACTGAAACATCAGGGTCGTTAAAAAAAAAAGGCTGATACATCAAGGTCACATTAAAAAACGAGGGTCAAACTTCATGAATTCAGGGTAAGAATCCTGACTTCTAAAACCCTAATCCATGGGGGTGGGAGGGGGGAGGGGGGTGGGGGGGGCCGCGCTACGGGAAAAACGAGGGGCCCACGGGGGTCTTACGAATGCACGAATGGGAGGGTGTTGCGGGTGCGTAGGAAAGAACGGGGCGCATTGGTCTACGCGGCGCGTGGGGGCGTTGGGCTACGGGGTGCATACGAGCTACGAGCGAAAGGCGGGGCGCGAGGCCGTGGCCCACAGGAACGAAACTAGCTCTGATACCATGTCAACGAGAGAACGGAAGAATGTATAAAGTAAACAAAGGCATATATGGGTTGATATAACAAACCCAAACCTTAGTGCTCTGACAAATGTAACACAATGTAGAACGCATAGATTAAACGAACAAACTATAACAATTATACTTTGATGCTAGCTGCTTGTGGCTCGCTGCTGGTGCTGGTGCGCGCGGGATGTAGTTGTTGTTGCACGCTAGCTGCTGCTACGCACTTGTTACTGCTGGTGGCGCATTAGCTGATGCTGGCGAGCTTGCTGTTGCTTGCGCCCTAGTTGGTGGTCATACCTCGCCTATCCTCTCAGCATCCTTGCTCGATTTGTTGCGACTTGGAGACACCGTCTCGTTTACTGGACGTCCGCTAAGAGGGTAGTGAAGTACTTAGAGAGCACATCAGGCATGGGGCTTGTGCTTGGAGGCCGACCGCTAGTGTGCCTTACCGGGCACACTAACACTTCTTGGGCTAATGACGTATAAACTCGCAAGTCCTCTCAGGGGTTCCGCTGTAGCCTTGGCAGTGGAGCTCTCTCGTGGAGGTCTAATCATACGTCGTCTGTCGCGTCGTCCAGCTGTGAGGCAGAGGTCTACGCCGGTGCTAAGGCTGTGCAGGAGCTCCTTTGGCTGACTTTCTTGCTCACAGTTACAAAAGACGAAAGGACGAGAAAAGTTGGGCAATACCGTACATCTACAACGGGTAGTTTGAATGGAATAAGAGACATTGGGAAGCAGCAAGGCAATTGAAAAAACACCATGGCTGCGTGAATGCATTTATCAAGGTCGTAGAATGCGCTATGCACACAAAACAGCATGTTTCACAGGTCTTGAGAAAGCTTTGAGGCACAGTGACGCATATACGCCAGTGTGCTGTGCACAACGTAAATGCAATAACTTCTTCGTGCACACACAGGAGGTATGGTATTGCATAATATTGGGCTAAACCATGGATCCCTAAGAAAATGTGTCACTTGTGAGCATTCAGATCATCACATTTCGGGCCCGTCTCAATCTTATCGATTCGAGCTCGAAGCCGCCCTGCCAGCTCGTCATTCGGCCCACCGCTCTCTAACTTGCTCGACCGTGTCGAACCCATTGCACTGCCGCCCCCATCCACAGCCTGCTTCCCACTGCTACCCTTGAACATAGCTTCGGACCCTGACCCAGCAGCACCACCACTCCGTCCTTCCCTCGCCACTTGCCCCCTCGGGCTGATAACACCACACGCTCCTCCTGCCCCTCCATTCTGGCCCACCCCACCCGGAGACAGCAGCGGCGCCCCATCCACCGCGGCACCATGCATGGCGCCTGCAGCTGCAGGGAACGACTCGATGCGGTCCAATCGAGCCTGCAGCACCCCTGTGAGCTCCGCATCTGGGCCGTCCTCCCTCAGCTCCAGCGCCGCTGCTGCCGCTGCACGGTCGCTGCTAGAAGCGGTGGTGGGGAGGGTCATGCGCTGCAGCACGGCAAAGTCGAGCGCCTCCCACACCTCGTCCACCACGCCCTCCGTGCCCGACGCTGCTGCTCGCTGCGCTGCTATGCGCCGCGCGTTCAGCTGCGCCTCGTTGGTGAGTAGCTGCTGCACTGCTGTCTGTAACTCGTGCTTGTCTGCCACCTGGCGGGATGGGATTGGCCGCAAAAAAGAAAGGGTAATGAATCATTATGGGGCAGCTTCCTTGAATGGCCTCATCCAAGCGCCCAGAGTAACTTCCCTCACTGCCTTTGGCAGGGGCCCCTCACTCCCGTCACTCCATCCCAGTGGCTACTCTTGTTGCTATCCAGGGCCTACTCATTTCGTCCCACTTCATCTCACCGCACCTGCCATCCCAGTGTTCCTGCCATCCCAGTGTTCCTGCCATCCCAGTGTTCCTGCCATCCCATCCCATACCTCCCAGAGGGGCGGACAAACAGACAAACAGAGAGGGGCGGCCTACCTGCCACACAGAGAGGGGCGCCACTTGCTGCAGCTGCTGCAGCACAGAGGTGAAGTGACCCAGGTGGGGACCTGAGGGCAATGTGGGGCGAGGGAACGAGAGGGATGACGTCAGTTGATTCAAGCTAGCTGCAGCACCGCAGAGGAAAGGAAACAGATCTCCGAGGAGCCAGCACGTGTACCCAGATGTGGACCTCAACTGGCGCACGTGTACCCAGATGTGGACCTCAACTGGCGCACGTGTACCCAGATGTGGACCTCAACTGGCGCACGTGTACCCAGATGTGGACCTCAACTGGAGCATCTGGATAGTCGTTCCACACACGTGTAGATTGATTTCAAACAGTGGCAGCAGAAAGTCAACAAGCAACATGATCGTTAGGCAACATAGAGTAATATATTACAGTTTAGTACCGCTTTGCGCATATATATGGAAAATGCACCACACTCAAGTGAAATAGAACTCAACAACTAGTCGAGTACAGCACGGCATAGTAACTCGCATCATGCAGATAGAGCTGCAGTGAAAGAACCCACCAGTGAGCACGGCACAGGAGGAAACAGCAGGCTCAGCGATGTTGTGGCCGCCCAGGCCGGGCAGCAGAGAGCCCCCCACGAACGCGAGGGGGATGATGGCGTAGAGCAGCGTCAACTCGCCTGCTCTCATGCCGTGCCCGCACACGAGGGTGAGCGGTGGGGAGGTGCAAGAAGATGTATTCATGGTGTACACTGTGGTGTGTACGCACACGGTGATATGATAAGATGCAGCATTCCAAGCTTAAACGGTTTGGACGACAAGAGTTTAGTCCCCCAAGAATGGCAGATGCTGCAAAGGAGTGCCATGTTACCATCCACATACCCCAACGGCATCAGCATTATAGCAATGGCATCAGCATCCACCCATGCCATCAGCATCCCCCCATGGCATCAGCATGCACCCATGGCATCAGCATGCACCCATGGCATCAGCATCCCCCCATGGCATCAGCATGCACCCATGGCATCAGCATCCCCCCATGGCATCAGCATCCCCCCATGGCATCAGCATCCCCCCATGGCATCAGCATCCCCCCATGGCATCAGCATCCGCACGTACCAATGGTGTCAGCAACATAGAAGTCAGTGTCGGGCGTCACTGCCTGCCCCTGGGAGCGCACAGCCACTCTCACCGGCTTGGCCCGTGCCTCCTCTGCTGTCATCCCCGGCTGCAGCGGTGGCGGGTGGTGCAGCTGCGATGCCAGGAACTGGGGAAAGGGGGGAGGCAGGGGTGGGTGGTGCTTTTAGGAGGTTGCCAGTGCAGAAGCTGTCACTGCCTTACGCCTGAGCAACTGTGCTGTCACTGCCTTACGCCTGAGCAACTGTGCTGTCACTGCCTTACGCCTGAGCAACTGTGCTGTCACTGCCTTACGCCTGAGCAACTGTGCTGTCACTGCCTTACGCCTGAGCAACTGTGCTGTCACTGCCTTACGCCTGAGCAACTGTGCTGTCACTGCCTTACGCCTGAGCAACTGTGCTGTCACTGCCTTACGCCTGAGCAACTGTGCTGTCACTGCCTTACGCCTGAGCAACTGTGCTGTCACTGCCTTACGCCTGAGCAACTGTGCTGTCACTGCCTTACGCCTGAGCAACTGTGCTGTCACTGCCTTACGCCTGAGCAACTGTGCTGTCACTGCCTTACGCCTGAGCAACTGTGCTGTCACTGCCTTACGCCTGAGCAACTGTGCTGTCACTGCCTTACGCCTGAGCAACTGTGCTGTCACTGCCTTACGCCTGAGCAACTGTGCTGTCACTGCCTTACGCCTGAGCAACTGTGCTGTCACTGCCTTACGCCTGAGCAACTGTGCTGTCATTTCCCGCTGCGGGTAGCAGGAGAAGAAGAGAGATGGCAGGTGGGAGAAGAAGAGAGATGGCAGGTGGGAGAAGAAGAGAGATGGCAGGTGGGAGAAGAAGAGAGATGGCAGGTGGGAGAAGAAGAAATCGCGCGTTGGGGTGAGGAGGTGAGAGGGTGAGCATAACAAAACGAAGCAGCAGGGGAGAGGGCAGAGGCTCTGGAGAGGGAGGGCAGAGGGTGTGTGTTAGAAGCAAGGAAAGAATGGCAAATAAGTTGCCTGGTCATGACTTTGCTGAGAATGACCGCACGGCCCCACCTCACCTTGCCAATGGCCGCCCCTCTGCCTGCACCTCACCTTGCCAATGGCCGCCCCTCTGCCTGCACCTCACCTTGCCAATGGCCGCCCCTCTGCCTGCACCTCACCTTGCCAATGGCCGCCCCTCTGCCTGCACCTCACCTTGCCAATGGCCGCCCCTCTGGTCGGGTCTCGGGGCACGATGACAGTGAGAAGCCCCGCCACTCGGTGCTTCAGATTGCGGTGCACGCGCAGGACAGCTTATGGGGGGGAGTGGGGTGGATGATGGGGAAGGGGAAGAGGAGAAAGGGTATGGGGAATAGGGAAAGCTTATTTACCACTGCTGAATGGCGGAACAGGGGTATGGGTGGTAATAAAAGCATAAGCGAAAGGGAACCTAGTGAATCTTGCACACACGTTCAACCCACCAATCCATGTCTCTCTGAACACAAGTTCACCCCACCAATCCATGTCTCTCTGAACACAAGTTCACCCCACCAATCCATGTCTCTCTGAACACAAGTTCACCCCACCAATCCATGTCTCCCCCACTGGCTCACCTTCCTCCTCGCCCGCGTGTGTGCTGGCAGCCAGCCACACCCGCCGCCCTCGCACCACACGCCTCACTTCCTCCTCCTTCCCTCCCCGCGCCCTCGCCCCCCCTCTCGCCCCCCCACTCTCCGCCTCCCCTTCCCTGCTGCTCCTGCTGCTGCCGTGACTGCTCATGGTCGCTGCGAGGGGTGGAGAGCGGTTCAGCACGGTTCAGAAGCGAGCATGTTAGAGCTTAGGTTCGCCAGAAGGGGGCAACGCAGTGCAATAGGTGCTGCTGTGCTGGCAGGAATGGCTCGGCTGCTGCTAGTGGCAGTGGGGGCATGGAATGGAAAGGAGAGAGCTGTTTCACATGAAGAGGGAGCTTTGAGTCCAGGAAAGGATAACCATAGTTTGCCACGGCTTGTTCAGAAGAAGGGGAAGAGCAAGCGCAGGATGATGGAATGCATAATGCTGGGCTGATAAAGGAGTGGATGGAGGACGAGAAGTGTGGGAGCGAGCGGCACGTAACCCCACCACCATATTCCTGTGCTGTGCACGCATGCTGCCATGCAACAACACCTCACGCATGCTGCCATTCAACAACACCTCACGCAACCACTCCTGCAAACAACCGCACCTGGCTAGACCAGCAGCAGCAGCATTGCAGCATGGCAGCAGTATGGCAGCACGGCACGCACCGAACTTGAGGTTGCCGGTGTAGCGTGTGAGCATGGGGTTGGCGCCCAGGCGCTGATACCGTAGCCCCTGCTCCGTGCTCTGCATGCACGCAACCAGGCAGAGCGGAAGAGGAAGGTGGGGGGGGGAGAAGGAGCGAGGAGGGGTGAAACAAGAGATGCGATGCACGGAGTTGGGTAAGCAGGGAGGTATGGGGATGTGAGGTGAGGTGACATGGCATGGACATGAGCAGGGACGTGAGTGAGTGATGTGCGTGCAAGTGGGAGGCACACGTTGGTTGCACACAAACGTGAGAGGCCACTTATATCAGTGCCAAAAGGTGTCGCACGTGCCAAAAGGTGTCGCACGTGCCAAAAGGTCGCACGTGCCAAAAGGTCGCACGTGCCAAAAGGTCGCACGTGCCAAAAGGTCGCACGTGCCAAAAGGTCGCACGTGCCAAAAGGTCGCACGTGCCAAAAGGTCGCACGTGCCAAAAGGTCACACGTGCCAAAAGGTCGCACGTGCCAAAAGGTCGCACGTGCCAAAAGGTCGCACGTGCCAAAAGGTCGCACGTGCCAAAAGGTCGCACGTGCCAAAAGGTCGCACGTGCCAAAAGGTCGCACGTGCCAAAAGGTCGCACGTGCCAAAAGGTCACACGTGCCAAAAGGTCACACGTGCCAAAAGGTCACACGTGCCAAAAGGTCGCACTTGCCAAAAGGTCGCACGTGCCAAAAGGTCACACGTGCCAAAAGGTCACACGTGCCAAAAGGTCGCACGTGCCAAAAGGTCACACGTGCCAAAAGGTCGCACTTGCCAAAAGGTCGCACGTGCCAAAAGGTCGCACGTGCCAAAAGGTCGCACGTGCCAAAAGGTCGCACGTGCCAGGTCCCAGGTGCGTGCGTACGGTGGTGGTGATGAGGGCGAAGCGACCAATCATGGCGGAGACGAGAGGGAGGAAGAGCCCATCCATGGCGTGCCACCTGTCAAACGTTGATTGGGTCATGCGCGCGTTGAGCAGCGCAATGGGCACCTGCATGGGATGGCGGCAAGGAGAGGGGAAGTGGCACACCGAAACACACAGAGACAGCCAGAATGTTGAAGACCGTTCTCTCTGTAACACGACTGTCTGTGCAAGGCGATTCCCCAGCAACGTGCTGGAGCGCCTCAGAGAAGGGCGGGAGATCCTGCAGCTTGCGCACCTACTGCTGCTGCCATAAATACTTTTCTCTAAATCGACATTCATCAGCAGAAAATTGCGCGTCTTTCAGCATGAGCAGGAGGGGAGGGCGTACAGTGAGGAGGCGGGGCGAGAGCAGGAGGTTGGGCCAGAGCTCCTGCTCCATGAACACCGCCCCGTTGGGCTGCCAGTGCGCCAGGAAGCGCTCCACCGCTGCTGGCGCGTCCATTGGCGCTAGCTGCGGGGGGGGGCGGAGCAATCATGAGCAGAGGGGGGCGAGGGGCAGAGAGGAGCGGAGTGGGGAGTGACAGGGAGGGGGTAGGGAGCGAGACCGATTTCGAGTCGACTGAATGACAGGGAAGTGGTACAACGCTGCGGCGCGTCCACTGGCGCCTAGCTGGCAGGCAGGGTCGAGCAAGGCGATGATGAGCGGAGCAAGGCGAGAGGGAGGGAAGGGGGAGGGGCGAGGGATGGAAGTGGAACAATGGAAGGAGAGGAAAATGAGAGGTGCGGATGAAGGAGAGATGCGTAGTGAGTACGACTGGTGTTCATCACGAGAAGGGTGTTGCAGCAGCCATGCACGGTATGTTCATTTCCGACCTCCTGCGTGCCTGGCATGTGGCACACGTGGCATGTGGCACACGTGGCATGTTCTACACGTGGCATGCGGCACACGTGGCATGTGCTACACGTGGCATGCGGCACACGTGGCATGTGGTACACGTGGCATGCAACACACCTGGCATATGACACGACACACACACCTGGCATATGACATGCGTTTTGGAGAAGGCTTTGGATACAACAGACCTGCCGTGCGGCGAAATTGGGAGGGGGGCGCAGGGGGGAGGGGGCAGAGAGGAGGGGGCATGTGGGAGGGGCGCGCGGAAGGGGCATATGGGAGGGGCGCGCGGAAGGGGCATATGGGAGGGGCGCGCGGAAGGGGCATATGGGAGGGGCGCGCGGGGAAGGGACGGCAAATTATACAAGGTAGTTGCAGGAGTGGGGAAGGAACAAGAGCATGCGCAGGACAACGCACGGCGGCGGCCGTCCTATGGTGAAAGCCAAGACCCTAAACGCGTTTGAGTGGATGCAGGATGATTCTGAAAGCCAAGACCCAGACCCGATGGGTGGATGAGGGAGAGAAACGAACAAGCGAGATGCAGACGCAGGTGGGGAAGCGAGAGGAGGAAGGAGAGAGGGGGAGAGGGGAGGAGGGGAAGGGGTTGGGGCGGGGTGGGTGGTGGAGGGGGAAGGGGAGGGGGAGGGCGAGCGGGGGCGTACAGCGCGAGGGCGTTGCGGGTGGTGAAGAGCACTTTGAGGCGCGGCCGCTGCTGCATGCACTTGCGAACCAGCGGTATCGCGATCGCGCTCTCGCCTGTGGGGGGGAACGCGGGTGGTAGTGCACGGCCGGGGGGAATGGCGGGCCGGGCACGAGGGGGTGAGAGAAGGGAGTGAGAGGGGCAGGAAAGCACTGAGAAAGGGCGAGGAGGACAAGGGAGCCCGAGAAGGGGAGTGAGAAGGTGCCGCGTCGTAGCTCTAAAGTTCAGGTTCATTGTGACCACGAGAAAGCTTGGAGCCCACAAGGCGCGGTCTAGGAGCGGTCTAGGAGCCTACCCACGGAAACAGCATGGAACCACAACAGAGGACCGTCCGGTCGCTTCGCCGAAGGTACGCCCAGTTGTTCCCGCCATCTGCTCCCCGCGCCGTCCAATCCCAGCAACGCGCGCTGCCAGAGGCCCATCGCCACCAATGGCGACGCGACGCTCGTGGCTGCTCTGTACGCGCCTTGAATCGCGGCGCCGACTGCGGCGTCCGCCGCCATTGCGGGAGTCGACGCGTGCAGGTGGCGCGACGAGGCGGGGTGAATGGAGGAGCTGTGATCGCGCGGTGGAGACGAATGCGAGGGCGAGAAGGGTGGCGGCTAAGGGAATCAGGGTAGTCCCGAATCCCGATATTGGCGGTTGACGTGGCGGGAACCAAGGTGACTGTCCGATCATGCGAGGAGGAAGAATCAAGGCTTCTGGTTTGAACAGCGTGTGCACTAAGAGGGGTATTTCCTTACCGCTGGCTGGGTGTACCCTCTTACGGTATTATGAGATTATGTTATGACATCAAGAAGCTAAATACGTGATACCTGTAATTTATTGAGTGACTTGCAGCAGCATCACTTCTCTCATAGAGACTTGCCTGTACATTGAACAGTGGGGTTAAATGTCAATTGAACTTCTACGCAAAAAGAGCATCAAATAGTGTACCGGGAAGTCATGTTATCTTCCTGTGGCCGTAGTTGGCGATTTTGCGGTTCCATCTGAGTTCTGCGGCTCCTGCATACGGTGATCGCAATTCTTGTGGCAGTGCTCTAACACGCCTCCACTGTGCGTTACAACCCAGCGCTGCTTCTCTGTACATGGCTAGTAAGCACTGCTCTGGCATGCAATGCCAACCACCACTGCTCAACGCACTCCCTGCACCTGCACCCACCCACCCACCCCTGTACAAGTTGATCCTGTGGTACCTGCAGTGAAAAGGAGGGATCGGAGACACAAGGATGCTGCAACGCCCTATTGTTGGCTCTTAACTCACGCATGCCAGTAGCGACAAGCACTCACGGGCTCAAAGGCAGTCACAGCCCTCTATGCCATACTGACAAACCTTACCCCTCTCTCACCCCCCACCCCCTCCTCAACCCGCACCTCTCTCGTCCCACCCTCGAGCCAGAATCTGCCATCCCACCAAGCCGTGTCACACCTGACTCGCCACAGCCCCCCTACGCCTCCCATGCCCCCTAAACCTTCCCCCCCATATGCTTGTCCAATCCGAACGACGTCAAGAGGCCTCACTGCATGCATCTCAGCAGCAGCGGTGTCCCGGCATGAGGGATTCCTCCCAACCCCCCTGCGCCTCCCATTCCATCTCACCCCCAACCCCCCTGCGCCTCCCATGCCATCTTCCGCCAACGCCCCTGCACCTCCCATGCCATCTCCCCCCAAACCCCCTGCACCTCCCATGCCATCTCCCCCCAAACCCCCTGCACCTCCCATGCCATCTCCCCCCAACCCCCCTGCGCCTCCCATGCCATCTCCCCCACAACCCCCCCAGGTGAAAGACCTCAAGAGGCGTCACTGTGTGCGTCTCAGCAGCAGTGGGCGTCATGGCGCGAGAGACTCACCGCACCCGCACTCCGCCTGCTCCTCCCATCCCATGCCATCCGCACCACCCCGCCCTCTCCCCCCCTTCCTGCCCAACCCCCAGGCGAATAACCTAAAGAGGCTTCGCTGCATGCACCTGAGCAGCGGCGGCACTGGCGTCATGAAGAAATCGCCGCACCCCTCTCACCTCCTTACATGTCACCTACAAACTCCCCCCTCCCCCTCTACATCCCCCCCCATCAACACCCTTGCCACAGGCGACTGACCTCAAGAGGCATCACTGCGAGCGCCTGAGAGGCGGCGGTGGTGGTGTCACGTCATGAAGGACTCGCCGCAGCCGCACTCCCCCTTGGAATTGGGATTCACGAACACAAACTCCGACCTGCGCCCCCCCACCGCCCACCCCGAACATGCCATTCGCACAATGATCGGTGGAAGGTGAGGAATAGGATCAGGGCAATGAGTCATTTCGGAAATGACAGCAGCAGGTGGGAAGGTAAGGGGGAGCATGGGGCAGCAGGGCATGAATGTGATGAACGATAATGAAGGAAGAGAGAGAGGTAGGGGAGGATGGAGGGGAGAATACAAACGTGACACAAGAGAGTGAGGTCGCGAAAGAGGGAGGCTGGATGCGCAAACGAGAGGGAGGGTAGGAGGAAGAGAGGGAGAACATGGAGAAAAACAGGTTATGAGCGGGGGAGGGTGGGAAGAGAAAGAGATGGGGGTGGGAAAGGAGGGGGGGGGGGGGGGGGGGGAGTGGGGTGGAGACAGGTGCGCGCAGCGGCATGGGGCGGGACGGTGTTGGGACGCACTTGAGGCGGTCCTGTACGAAGTCGACGGTGGTGCCGATGACGGCCATGAGCGCCTTGGGCTCCACCACCACTCGCACGCCCTTCTCCTCCACCACCTCGTTGAACCTCCCCGGCTCGTCTGCTCACCGCCGCGCACACGGGCAATGGGCGACGGACGACAGCAGAGTGACCCCATGGGAGTGGAGAATGTGAGATTGAGCGACGACATCTGAAGCGGCATATTGAGCATTGATCAGACATCTGGAATGTGTGATTATGAGCTTACTATATCCGCCATGAGAGGCACACAAGGAAAGACGCATGTAGAGAGGGATACGAGCGTCTTAATTGCTCTACTACCTCTACAAACACAACACCGCGACATCTGCTGTGATTCCAAACGCGCTCTCCTCGATACCCAGTGGCTAAAGCACGCCCGTAAGACTGCGAGCGCGCGGCGCGTACCGGCGTAGGTGAGCGTGTAGCTCATGCCGCTGCAGCCGCGCGACTTGACGCCCAGCTTGAGGTACTCCTTGTTGCGCCTCGTCAGCAGCTCGCGAATCCGATCGGCCGCCGCGTCCGTGAGCTGAATCACCTGCCGCCGCGGTGCGCGCGGCCTGATCGCTGCCTTGGCGGCGGCAGCGAGCGCCGCGGTCATGACACGAGGACGACTGCGCTGTGGTGGACGGACCTGGTTGTGTGACTGACACGGAAAAGCGTGCCAGTGAACGGGTAGCAGCTTCTTTCTAAGGGCGTCGGTTGTAGTAGAAAGGCCTCGCAGCCGACAACATGAGCCTTGAGATATGATGTCGGTGGTTTTGAAATCAAATTAGGAGGCACTCGAGCACCTGGTGTTCAGTTGGTCAGGACTCAGGGCCCAGCAGTCAGAAGCGGCTGGAGTATCGAGGCTGAAACTATCGAGGCTGGAAACTATCGAGGCTGCAGATGGTGCAGGATTCATGAACCATCATTCCTCAACTCAAGACCAAACAGACAGTCAGGGCGCGTCTCCCTCTTGATCGACCATGAGCAGGTTCCTTTTTCGGCTTGGTTGTAAATGTAAAACGCGGAGTTTTGGTGTGGTAGAGGATCGAATCCTCGATTTTGCACGATCCATCGAGGGAGGGGGGACGCGCCCTGATGTTCAACATGGAGGTTCCAATTGAAGCGAAAGAACGAGGTTTTCGCTACCGAGATCAAGAATACAACTTTGAGGGAGTACATTTGCAGCAGCGTTTGTAGTTTTCCAAATAGGCGGAAAATGTTTCTGACATTCAGGTCACTTCCTTTTTGGGTTGCGTAGTAGCTTCTTTCTAAGGGCGTCGGTTGTAGTAGAAAGGCCTCACAGCCGACAACATGAGCCTTGAGATATGATGTCGGTGGTTTCGAAATCAAATTAGGAGGCACTCGAGCACCTGGTGTTCAGTTGGTCAGGACTCAGGGCCCAGCAGTCAGAGGCGGCTGGAGTATCGAGGCTGAAACTATCGAGGCTGGAAACTATCGACGCTGCAGATGGTGCAGGATTCATGAACCATCATTCCTCAACTCAAGACCAAACAGACAGTCAGGGCGCGTCTCCCTCTTGATCGACCCTGAGCAGGTTCCTTTTTCGGCTTGGTTGTAAATGTAAAACGTGGAGTTTTGGTGTGGTAGAGGATCGAATCCTCGATTTTGCACGATCCATCGAGGGAAGGGGGACGCGCCCTGATGTTCAACATGGAGGTTCCAATTGAAGCGAAAGAACGAGGTTTTCGCTACCGAGATCAAGAATACAACTTTGGGGGAGTACATTTGCAGCAGCGTTTGTAGTTTTCCAAATAGGCGGAAAATGTTTCTGACATTCAGGTCACTTCCTTTTTGGGTTGCGTAGCAACCCTTTATATTTGGTTTCACATTTTGGGGATATCATCTCGAGAGTGATTTTGAAGTACTCTTTGGAGCACTCGTTTGAACGTTTTAAGTCTGTGTTCAAACGAACGCCTCAAGGAGTGAATGAGCATCACTCTTGAATGCGATATCCCTGAATGTGAAGCCAAATACGTACGTACGTATCATGTTGAAACCATGAATTTGCTCGACCATCCCACCTCATTGATAAATACGGCGGATGGTACGGCCGAACATAAGATTCAGGCATCAACATGAACGAATGAACAACAAGGTATGAGGTGGTATGGATGCTTCAAAATGGGCGTTAAAATGCATCATATAGCAACAGAGGCTGATGGGGTCGTTGAAACAGCGAAAACACGCTGCCCAAAGACGATTAACAACCTCTAATTGCATACATGACACGTAGTAACATCACACTTTGAAACACACTTACCACGAACACGAATGCACACGCATATAACAAATTGTACAAATGAACAACAAGGTATGAGGTCGTATGGATGCTTCAAAATGGGGGTTAAAATGCATCATATAGCAACAGAGGCTGATGGGGTCGTTGAAACAGCGAAAACACGCTGCCCCAAAGGTGATTAACAACCTCTAATTGCATACATGACACGTAGTAACACCACACTTTGAAACACACATACCATGAACACGAATGCACACGCGCGTAAAAATCGCCAACACCACATACACGCATGCACACAGACACGTACAAGCAAATAAACAAAGCTACATAAATAACCAGCTAATATATCGCACACACAGATAACAAAAAGTCAAGTTTTTTCATGTATAACCCATTTTCTCCATATCTCCCCATGTTCCCTCCATTCCCCGCTTGCTTCCTCCCTTTAAAATTTATTGCAAACGGAAGTGGGGACGATAGAGCTCCGCTCGCATATCCTACACAAAATAATAAAGAAACAAACACAACAAACAAGAAATATAGTGCAAAAGTTCGTTTACAAGTGCAACAAGTTAATAACTTCATAAACACGTTCAAGAAACTCATGAATCCTACCATAAAGCCATACAATCAAATTAGAATACGAGCATTTCATTGTATCTTACCTTGCCACCACGACGCTGAGCGAGTTTCACGGGTGTCGCTGGAACGCTAGGAGGAGCATTCGGTGCCTCACGTTTCTTGTTGTCATTGGGATCCGCATTATGCTCCTCCTAATGCAAGAAAAAGGTACAAACATATTGGTAATGTGCACAAAATGTGACTATACAAATACTAGTATTTCAGCACTAAAACGACATATTATATCATGTCATGGCTCATACAAGACTCAATATGAAAATACCTTGATGAAGGCTGTGATGGTCCTTTCGAAGACATTTCCAGCAGCCTTCTTGACCAACTGATGTTGGATGAAGATAACACGTAAAAGTGTTGAACACGAGCGATGCACATTAAGAAATTTGACATTTTAGACATACGATGGACATAACATCACCTAACCACATTAGTATGACCATTTGTGTTACGTAAAACTAGCAAATATGACATTTTCGTTGACTTAACATACCTTGATACGTCGACGCTTGTGAAGGAGTTTCGATAGTATCTCCTTCTTCCCGTCCGACCCAGCTGCGGTCCAGCTGCGCAATGTTGAAGTTGTCCAGTTCGACATTGAGAGCAACCATGCTCACTGCAGCGTGCACACCTGTACGACGGGATTTTCCGACTTTGATAGGGAAGAAGAAAAAGAAGAGAAAAACGAAATACATAGAACCATAACATTGGCATGTGCACAGCGTGGTGTACAATCGTCCTTTGGCACACAACAAAATCTTAAGATGATGAATAAAAGAACCAACCTAAAAAAATGAGGTGGCATGGCATAAAAGATAGTCAACGGTGATACAATATCATAAAACGGAGCATCAAACGACAGTTGTCACAGCAGAGAGAGAAAAAGAAAGGGAACACGAGCACCTGTGGTCGTGTCGAAAACCAATGCAATCTTGTCATGCTGGGTCGGGTCCTGCATCACGTGCTTTATGACACAAACTTACCCGTCGTGTGTGCAATCATATCCAACAGGAAAACCGCAAGCAAGTGTGTCCTCTCCGGGCGGCTTGTAGGAGCAGCACCACTCTGTGGTAATAACGGTATCGCGTATTACCACAGCAAGTGTGCATGTGATCTCTTGACCAAAAGAGATCACGTTGTCTTCCACTGGCCCCAAACTGGAGGAGTGAAAAAACGCAATAAAGATAGATTTGAAAGTAGACGTCGTGATCGTACAAAGCATAGGTTGCAGATTTATAACATATTCATATGTAGTTGTCCATACAAACAGGATTACAATTAACCACTAGCAAGCTCACGAGTTGACGATTCCGACGTCGCGGGAGTTTGGAAGAACAGGGATCGGGATGTTTGTGGTTCGAGCAACAACAGCAGCATCCGTGATCTTGATGATTCTCGACCTCTTAGGAAATAAAAGAGACATGCAAAATGGGAAGACATTTAGGGGGTTATGTGAGAATCATAAGCATAGTGAGGAGCCATAGCTAGGGTTTAGCTAGCTAGGCAAGAGAGAAATGAACAAAAGGAGCGGTTTCACTAGCAGCAGTTGGGATACATATAGCAAACCCTAACAGGGTCGTACTCGCTATAGAGCACCCCACTACAGGCTAGATAATAACATTCTGACACACCCCCATAGCCAAAGTGGGGTGTAATCAGCAGAGCACGTAGTCATAGAGCAGGTTCACAAATGCAAGCAAAGCTAGAGGCTATCACAGAGGGCAAGTGAGGAGGAGGAGGAACTGTGGAAGGAGAGAAGATGGGAGGCAACGACTGAAGCTGCAGAGGCACGGGCACAGGAGCGGCTGACTCAGTGGCTACCGAAGCAAGGGCGACGGACTACTGGAGTGACTGGCTCCGCGGCTAAGACGAGCGGCAGGAGCAACGGACCCACTGGCGACTGGTGCAACAGGCTCACTGGCTACCGAAGCAAGGGCGACGGACTACAGGCGTTGCAGGCGACACAACAGCTACCTCCACACAACCTCCTCCAACTGACCCACACCCTTGACACTCACCCCCTGCTGAACCCCTAACTCCACTCCCACGTCACCCCCCTAGCACCACTCCTTCGGCTCCCACACACCCACCCCCCTGAGCGGCAGCTGTAGCAGCGGGAGACGGAGGAGGAGGAGAAGTAGTGGAACGGCGCACAGAAACTGCACCCCCATACCCACCACCCCCAAACCCTAATTCAGGAGAACGGGCAGCAGCAGGGGTGGGGCACCGTCAGAAGCACGGGGGACAGCGAGCAGCTCAGGGGCAGGGAGGAACGGGCCGCCCACGGGCCTGGCACAGCCCGACGAACCGCGCGCAGGCGGCCCGAGCCGCGCGCGGGCCTGGCGCAGCCCGTACGGGCCGCGCGCGGGCCGGGCGCAGCCCGTACGGGGCCGCGCGCGGGCCGGGCGCAACCCGTACGGGCCGCGCTGGCCGGGACGGGCGACGGGGGACGACGGGCTGGTCCCCGTCGCCCGTCGAAGCGCCCCCCGGGGGCGACGCGCGGACCGACGAGGTAGAAGGCCGCCGCGCGCCCCGGGGCGCACGGCGGGCAGAGAACCGCCGCACGCCTCGGGGCGCACGGCGGGCAGAAAACCGCCGCGCGCCTCGGGGCGCACGGCGGGCAGAAAACCGCCGCACGCTCCGAGCGCGCGGCGGCAAGAAAAATCCGTCGCACGCCACGGGGCGTGCAACACACAGAGTAGCAGCGGAAGCAGTTA